AATTGTTTTTGGCACTTCCATGTTAGCTTTGTTTTTCAGCCTCAGAGGTTGCCACTTGGCTATAACACAGCACATTTAGTGGTCAAAGAGTTGTTTTTGTTGAGCAAGATGAAAAAAAAAGATTAGGATGGAAGAAGAGATGAAGGCTTTGAGGCCAATATGAAAGTAACCACATGCTGAAAGGTGACAGTGGAGTGTAGGGTGAGTCGACAAACTGATGATGCTAAACCTAACCACTGCAAGCACAAATCAACCAATCGCTATCTTTGTAAACACTCACTTCTGTTGACACACCTACCAATTTCTGAACACATCCACTTTCCACTGCTGCTTTGCGGCTTCAATAACAAGTATCTGTTGCACCACTCCAGTCTTTCCAGAGTTGTTGGTGTACGTCACCTTGCCCACAATGAAAGAGTGATGATGTGATAGGTGCTGAAAGGAGAAGAGGAAGTTTTTGGGTTCATAGTTTCTCAATCCTGGTCTTTTGTGGGTGTGAACAAGTTTCTTGTTGTAGTGGCAATCTATCAACGAAAACACAATAGAAGAAACAAGATCTAGGAGTATTTAAGAACAAGGATACTTTAATTTCACGAAATAACTTGTTAATAAACCTAATATCACTTCTAAACAAAATCTAAAAACATATTAATGTATTTGCTCACACATAATTGTGAAACATTTAATGCAGTAGTCTTTGCTTCTTTTCTGTCCTATCCATTGCCAGCTCTCAATAAACTCATCAAAGTGTAGCCTTTAGCAGCCTATAGGCCTATGTCACACAGCTCACCTGGAAGGGCTGTAAATGTGTCAGCTGTCAGTTTGTTTACTCACACTTAAGCCTGTCTTAAAGTAGAGGGAATGCAGGGATTGTTTATTCCTCTGTGACATGATGTCACTTTAAGTGATATTTCATACAAAGCCAAAATGATTAATAGATTTACTGATTAGTCAACTGACGGAAAATTAATCAGCAATAATCTTGATAAAAGATGAAATCAGTTTTGAAGAAAAAATGCTCTGGATCGAGCTTCAATTTCAGCCCCAAATATGAACAGTTGCTGGTTTTCTCAGTCCTCTATGAAAGTACAATCATTGAAATATGATTGTTCTGAACTGTTTGTCAGACAGAACAAGTTTTCTGAAGGCATGAACTTGGGCTCTGAGAACTTGCAAAGGACATTTTTCCTATTTTCTGACTGGCGATAAATTAATCGATAGAAATAATCTACAGATTAATCGATAATAAAAATTTAAAAAATTGTCCTTATTAGTGTTTGATCTATCAAGAAATAAATTTATTAACCTCCAATAAAGTTAGTGTTACAGTTAAACTCTTAATAAAGAGTGTTTTATTAACAAGTGGTCCCATAAAGAATATCCTACTGTAAAATAGCTGTCTGTGCTTATATGACCTTATCATATAGTACTATTTTTATTTTCCTATGGTTTTAAAATGTAGGCTACTTTTATGTGGTAAAAATGTATAAAAATAACTTAACAGTCTAACAACTTCTGTCTAAAAAAAGCCTGAGTATGGAGTCACACAGGTGTTGGCCCAGTGAGAACTTTTTTTCCTCACCAAACTCTGAAGCTGAAAAGATAAATGCTGATGTGGGCAGAAATAATCCGGGACGCTGATTGGAGTCGCAACTTTTCATTTCATTTCAAAGCTTGTAAGCATCAACATGAATGAACCTCCAGTGTCACACACGGGCTCGTGGAATAAATGTGCCACGCGTGCCTGTGTTGTCAGCCTGTGGGAGCTGCAGGCATGGGTGGCCAGCAGGCGGGATTTATAATGGTGATGAATCCCGGGGGTCTTGGTAATTATGGCTGTCGCTGGACGGAGAGAGAGAGAGGGGGAGAGAGAGGAAACAACCCGGCGGAGGCATTTTATCTTAATCACAGCTCAGCTCCATTCAAATTAATTTGACAAGTTTCCCCAATCCTTATTAAAAGACGCGTCTGGGAATGACAACCCCCTCCTCCTCTCTAAATACCTCGTCATGAAAGAAATATATTTAAAAATATATATTTATTTGAAAAGGAGAGAGAGAGAGAGAGAGAGAGAGAGAGAGAGAGAGAGAGAGAGAGAGAGAGAAAAGGGGCAGTATAAGGGTGCAAGACGCAGATATTTCCCGTAGATATTTTCCTCCCTGTAGGGCGCCCTGAGCCATCCATCCCTCCCACCTCCCGAGTGTTTCTATAGTAATTTCCAGCCAATGATCAGTAGGTGTCCACATCCCTGCTTCCTCACCTCAGCACCAATCAGCCACACACAGCGACAGGAGACACGGACTGAGCAGAGACCAGGCAGACGCACACAATACAGCCCCCGGATCAAGAGGAGAGGAAACACCTCACCCCCTCTGCGATTTTAACCCCCCCTGCCTCTTTTTTTTTTGAACGGCACCTTTTGGCTTTTTTTATGCACTTTCCAACCTTTTGCTAACGTGACACGAAAGTCGATAAAAATGATCCTTTTGTTTTGAGCGCCCTGAACACACGCGCGCGCGCACACACACACACACACACACCTACACACACACACACACACACGCGCGCGCACACACACACACATACACACACAAACACACACACACACACACACTCACACACACACTCACACAAACACACACGCGCGCACACACACTTACACACACACACACGCTCGCCTTGCTCTCCTCCGGCAGCCTGTGTCTGTGCGTCTTCTCGCGTCTTTGCATTATTTTTTTCCCCCCGCACACGTATCGCTTCGCAGTAATGTGCCGTTACACGGTCGCAGGCTGGTAGCATCTTGGGAGCTCTTCTCAACAGGAACCTGGTAGGTGATGCTCTCTCTCTCGCTCTCTCGCTCTCGCTCTCTTTCCCTCTCTATCTAAGTGTGTGTGTGTGTGTGTGTGTGTGTGTGTGTGTGTGTGTGTGTGTGTGTGTGTGTGTGTCCGTCCCTGTTTTGCCGTCCAGTTGCATGCGTTGTACCCCCCTTTTTCCCTGTCCCGATTTGTGTCCGTGCGGCTGCCAAGTGATCCAGGCAATGTCAGATTAATTTTTATGGGGTTTTATTTGCACTAACGCACCGCGCTCCCCTCTTCGGATTATCTATGCATGACCTTTGATCTGAATGTCTACCACGGACCAGACTCAGTCTAATTAATGGCATCGTGGTGCAGCGGCGGCACAAAGGTTCGTCATCGGACGTGGCTTTTTTCCTCACTTTTCTTTCTTCAATCTCCCTCTCGCACTCTCCACCTTTCTCTCCCCCTCTCTCTCTCTCCCTCTCTCTCTCTCTCTCTCTCTGTGTCTCGCTCTCTTTCCTCGTCCCTCTCTCCCTCCTCTTCCCTGTGTCTCTCTCCAGCTCCCAAGTATTGAACATTTCTGTCTCTCTAAACTTTGTTTACAGGCTGAAAATCAATGTCCGTGACTTGATTGCCTTTGGGCTGCGTATTTCGCTCCAGGGGTGAATTGATTAAGTAATAATGACCCTGAGGAGGGCTGATCATTAAGCCAAGGAGGTTTTGTTTACTGGTTGCGGGTTGTCTTGGATGCCACATCGACACTGAACCTCCAGATCTGGACTGGATGGTGCATAAGACACTCCAGGCTTCACAATTGTACCATAAAAAATACCAAATGACAATAGTTGAATGTTTAAGTGCATGTTAGAAAAAGTGAGACTTCAAGACTTTCTGAAAAAATGCCTGAATAATTTGGTACTTTTAGGTTAACAAGGAAAATATTTACCTGCAAGGACATGTTCATAGGAGGGAAGCACCCACCCTGTAAGATCTCTCCAGTTCCATGTGTGCATATTTCTAATTTATTTTTTTCTAGACAGCTGCTCGGTAGCACCATGGAAGTGATTTGAAATGCTTTAGTGTTCCAGCAATGGATCAGCTTTGGCAATTAAGAGAGAAAGCCCAGAAAAAGGTAATGGAAGTAGGGGGAGATGTGTCTAATGGGCTTTTATCTGTGGAAACCAAATCCAGACAGACTGATGGAGAGAGGGAGGGAGAGAGAGGGACACACACACATGTGTACACCTATACACACACACCCCATCCGGAGGCAGCTGACACTGTAGTTGGTCTGGTCCATGATCTGGATGTAAATTCACCAGTGGCTATCTCATGCCGTCATTGAGTAAATGTAATAGAGCTGGTCATGAATGAATACCAGGTGCTCTTAAGAGGCTGAACACAGTCGTGTTTACATGGATGGGCCGCCTCTACTATTTGGATAAGATGAAGAAAAAAAAAATCTAAAATATTTAACTATGTTCCTCCTGGCACCCAAAGAAGATTATTTTTAAGAGCTTATATTGCAGGCCTAAGGTAAAAGTCTTTGTGTTTGTAGCTGCTGCTGTCATAATCTGAATTCTGGTGAGGCTCTCCTCAAACTTTTTTAAAAAAGTGATATTTTGGATTGAATATTCAATTTTTTTTTTTTACATTTTGATGAAATGTACCTTTGTGTATTCAAATGCTTTTATTCATTCTGTGAAGTAGCTGATTGGACTTTCTTCAAAAATATGTAAGAATAACTTGACAAGACGTCTAAACAATGTTGAAAGTCTGGCGTTGCTTTTCTTTTTTTTAAGCATGCTAATTCTTTCTCCCATTATAATAATGACATGTTGGTCTGTCACAGCTATCACGTTATTGTCACCAGATGAAGATCAGCTCTGACTATTTGTGATGGTTCCACTATAAAACGTGAGCGCGTAAACAATGTGCCAGAAGATTCTTCAAATGTTCAGCTCTTATCTTCAGAGAAAAGTTGAAGTAGGGAAATGAAATCTGATTAGAATGAAAACAGTCGCCTCTTTTGTGTGTAACTGTTGTTTCTTTTTTGTTTTTTGTTTTTTTTGTTTTCTTTGCTTTTAGCACTGGAGAAGATAAACCAGGATGGTAACACACTGTTGGTAACCAGCTTCAGTTCGACAAAGGCCGCCATAACTTCACTTTCTTCTTCTGAACATTGACAACCATTCCTCAGCCATGTCTAACATAAACAATGCGCTTTGCATTGAAAATGGACAGAACGCAGACGTGTCTCTCTTACAAAAGGATAATCTTCAGGATGGTGGATTAAGCCAGCTTTTGGATTATAACGCAGAAATGGAAAGGTACAGGTCTTTTGCAAACTTTTATAAAACCAATGGGGCATTTCCACAGACTGCTAAGATTGCCCGCATCACAACGCCCATTTTTCCCAGTGCTAGAATTGGCATGTCCCCTTGGAACTGCGATAACGCCATGCTCTGGGGAAGGAAATCAGCGGCAATAAACCCTAATAGGACCAGCATGCATAGAAATGACTCCCAGAGGCCGGGGAAGCCTGGCGTGCCGCCAGAGACGCTGCAAATGGCAAATAATAATTTCCTCTCTACCTTATCCCCTGAACACTGCAGACCTTTAGCAGGAGAATGCATGAACAAGCTGAAATGCGGCGCTGCTGAAGCAGAGATAATGAATCTCCCAGAACGCGTTGGAACTTTTTCCGCTATTCCGGCTTTAGGGGGCATCTCATTACCTCCCGGGGTCATCGTCATGACAGCCCTTCACTCCCCCGCAGCCTCAGCAGCCGTTACAGACAGTGCGTTTCAAATTGCCAATCTGGCAGACTGCCCACAGAATAATTCCTCGGCATCCAGTGGAAACCCAGCGAAGAAGAAAAGGAAAAGGTGTGGGGTCTGTGCACCCTGCAGGCGGCTAATCAACTGTGGTGTCTGCAGCAGTTGTCGGAACCGCAAAACGGGCCACCAGATCTGCAAATTTAGGAAATGCGAGGAGCTGAAGAAGAAGCCAGGCTCATCGCTGGAGGTGAGAACCCAGGCTCTGCTTCCCCTTCTTTTGTTATTATCCCCTTGCACTCCAAAGCATTAACCTTTTCATCCAGTCACGTTCTAAGCCCTTGAAAATTGTTTCCATGCCCACCCATGCCTGAACATCCCCCCGGCTTCTCAAATCTGCCTACCCGCCTAGCCTAATTGGCAGTAATTAGGGGTGTTTGTGCGGAGCGCAAGCTGAGCTTGGCTCAGACACCCTTAATTGCTGCCAGTCAGGCTGGGGCTGGAACGCATCCGAACAACCCCGAGCTTGGCTCAGCTCCAAGCAGGGCTGGGAAATGGTTTTCAGCAGAGAGCCATCCCTCTCTGCACCCGGTCATTTTAACCAATTATGGAAACCGTCTCTGGATGGGGAGAATCAATATCCCACAAAGCCTCAGCCTCCGACCACCAAGAGATGGTGAGAGTGATGGCAGGGCTGCTGATGGCGTTTCTCAAAACATCCCCCAAGTTTTGTGTGGGGAGGGGAGCGAAGCACCCAGACTGATCCTCTCCCACTGATCCTGTATGAATTGATTGTGCATATACAGTGGGGGCTGAGATGAAATCATTCTATATTATATTTGTGTCATTATGGCCAATTACAGATCAATGTAGGACACGGTGCACATCAGGAAGGGTGCAGAGGCAGAAAAAAATCAGCATCACTTAGAGAAGAGCAAAACACATTAAGCAAAGGCTTAATTGACAAGTAGCAAGAGGCTTCATTAGGACACAATCAGAGGGCAGTGTTGTTTTTAAAGGTTCATTTTAATTGATTTAGTTACTGGATGATATTTGGTTTTCAAGGGCAAAGGCAGAATATAAATGTTAAGTTGCAAATCTGGTTCTCTTTACCCTGAGAGTTTGAACTTGCTCACTGACTTAACATGAGCCTGTATGGATGAGTCACCAACAAATGCAACCTGAGGGCCAGATGATTTGCTCATTAATTAAGTGATTACACAGAGAGGAAAAAGAGGTTAATTGTAAAATATTAGCTAATCTGCTTATGGAAAAACACCATGTATGGCTTTCTTTGTTCACTTTGAATTTCAGCCTGATTTTTGTTTGAATCAATCGAATCGAAACCACTGTGCCGTCATTTAGGTGTGTTTTTCTGTTGTTTTATGATGTAAATATCACCTCTGACTGTGCCTGCTCCTTAGCAGTGATCAGGAAACATTCAGAGTAGATTGAGACTGTCCCAGAATACAAATGTTGAAGCTTGTTCTTGACCAAGTAGTGGTGACGAGCTCAACGTGACATAATATATTATTCATATAATTCTCATCATTTATGTCTCATGTACTCTCCAACCTAGTGCTACATGCAGGTTTTGTGCTAATCCAGTCCTGATTGGACAGCATGCCACCTACGTCTAATATCCCTGATTAAAATTTTAGTAACTTTTAATGATTTTGACAGGAGTCTCAAACATCAAAAGCTTCACCACTTCTTTAACTCCAAACTGCATGTCAGTCATTTTAAAAACAAGTTGTGCAAACAACCACTGTTCAAACCTGCACAGCTTTATTTTGAAAGTTTCCAAAAGTTTGAGACAGGATACATTTTTTGGGTTAATACTGTTTGTACATCTTGAAAAGTTCTTAAAGATAAAAGTTTTCTTAAAAACAAGTGAGAAAAATCTGGCTGTGCAGTGCAATTATTTCAACGGCTTTCCACTTTAAAATCAACTGATTTCAAGAAATTTACAGAAATGATTGTCTGCGTCTTCAAACAAGGAAGAACAAGGCAAGTTGTTGCTCTAGAATCAAGAAAAGTGCAACCTGATTTTAGAAGCTACCTTACACATCATGATTTGTATTATTTTAGTTGTAGAGTTATGTAGTAGAGATGTTCCCGATATTTCAGTTGCTTTAAGAAAATTACACTTTTACAGTTGGACTCAAATTACAGACAAAAATGACTTGATAAGAAGAAGACTTTTTAGCGTAAAATGAGGATACTGTATCTAGATTATTTCCATTTGGTGCAGCCATAAAAACCATGGCGTCACAGGTTTGAATATTTCATCTACTATCTTGTACTGTAGCTTAAATTGAGCGTTGGAACCATCTGATTCTTTCGGGCAAACCTGGATTTAACAGGTTGAATAAAGAGGTCACTGATGGGTTATTGGGGATGGGTTGGACACTCCTGAGGTGTTAATCGGAAGCTCATTTAATGTTGACTCCATATATCATGTACTAACAGGTGTCTCAAACAGGTGTCCAGGAAGCTGGCCTCACATTCTTAATGCATGGGTAGACTCACTTTTGGAAAACATCCATTTGCAAAGACGGTTAGAATTACCAAGGGTGTGAAAACCCCCCAAACAAATCCACACTTGCTTTTAAAAGCTCCCTCACTGAGTTCAGTAATTCATATTATGGACTTCTCCAGCAGTAATTGTTATTTTTGACTCTGCATCTGTAATTACAGGTGCACCTTCTGCTCCGGAAATGGGTTTTGGGTTTAAAGGCATCTTAGAGGTGTGAGGCTGTGCAATTGCTTAGTCTAACTTTTATACATACATTAACAGGGAGTGCATTTTTTCACCTTGTTGATGGTGCTAATGGTTGCTGACACGTATGAGGAATCAGATGCTAAAGTGAGTCTAGAAGGAGAATTTACAGCGTGTACTGTTCATGCAAATCCAGATGTGAGCGGTTACGCATACGCACACTATGTCTCTCATTTTTTCTCTCTCACGCACACAAACACACGCACAAACGCAGTCGCACTCACATCCACATACTACATACTATATATTATTCTCAAAAAAGAAAAAAAAACAAACACACACACACACACACACACACACACACACACACACACACCCAACATGAGCTGAGTGTACCTTTTGCCTTAGAAGAGACGATAAGCTACTGGCAGCCAGTTAGATTTGGCTGTCACTGTTTTCCACATGGGAATCACCCTGAACTAATTATATCTTAAGCAGCGGTGGAAAATGCAAATCAGAATTTTACTCACACCCCTGAAATTGGAGAGCCAATTTAATCTAATACCCCCTTTAATTTAGCGCGCTAATGCAAGGCCCTAGAGAATTGCCCTGTGTCACTGCTGTGCTGTTCTGCAGCAGATTCTGCTCGTTCTCTGTCTCTGTCTCTGTGCTGCTCTCAGGCTCCAGGATGGATTAGTCTGGCAGAGGAATCTCATCTAACCTAACATTTCCTGAGCAGTTACCTTTGCATAGCTTGAGCTCCGATGGCTCAAAGGTCCTTCATTAACTTCCAAATGAAATAATGCTCATATGAGGGCAAGCTGTGTCTCCACCTCTGTTTACCTCACCTGTTTGCCTCAACAGCAGGAAAACGGCTTTAGAGTTGTGTTAAATTTGGTGAATGTAAAAGTTATCCTTCCATAATAAATTGTTATTTATAACATGAAAAACCAAACATAACTTTTAACATAACAGAAATAGTGTTTTTACTTTCTTATCATCTTATGACCATTAAGATTTTCTCCCTTGTCGGGAGCCCCGGCCCGCAGGTTGAGAACCACTATTTTAAGGTACTTAGTGTTCACCATCCAACAACTGGCTCAATGGTAACACTCTGCTGTGTAGCATGTAACCTACACTGTTTATAACACAAGTTTATTTAATTTATGCAGGTTCTATTTTGAATTGTATTCAGTTATTGACCGTTTTTGTTAAAGACAATTTTGGGGGGGGCATTTTAACTCTATTAGATTGTAAATGAGATTGAGAAATGAGACTCTGAACACTGGCACTGTTGCACGTAGAGCTCTACTGTGAATGCTAATAATCTGACATGAAACAATATGAATTAAAAATAGAATAAAGAAGACTTCATTGGTTAGTAATATAGGCTTCGTAGATTTATAAAAGTCGGCACAGTATTTGTTGGAAGTCACGATTAATTAGGTCAAGCTAACCAAAACATGACCAGTTGAGTACCCTCTTACAGAAAGACTTGACAGCCATGCTACAGTCTCAGTGAAAGATCCAGATTTTGAAAATATTCACAACAAAAGACAATTTTTTTTTTTTCAGGGCTTTGCTTGTGAATGACTCTCAACACATGTCTTTATATCAGGAGTCCAATGCCTACAGACAGATGTCCAAAACATCATCATCATTCACAATACACTTTGATGGAAACATTCAAGTGCCAGTTCACTGGGTTGTTGACAATATTGACTGGAACAGTTAAACCTAAACAGCACTTGTGTTTTTGCGTTCATAACGCCACAAAGACCAAGTAAAATCCTTGAAATAACAACATCCAGAGAGGCTCCTAATTGATTAGTTGTATAACGCAGTGTAGAAAAAGCAGGAATAGGGCAAAACAAGATCCAATTGAACAGATTCCTCCTTTCAATTAACAAATGTCAAAGGCCAGCATCATGTCATGAGCAGGAAAAACCTAGAGTAAGGTGGTGTTCTTTCTCTGCCTCTGCCTCTCTCTCCCTGTCCCTGTTCTTTGTGCAGTGTTGATATGAGTACATGAAATGGGTGAGATGAAAAGGTGGCATGGCTGCCTAGAAACCTTTTGCTATTGTGATAAAAGACAAGGCCCAAAATGGTAGGAAGCAGGACCTTGAGGAAAATAGCTTGAATTCAGCCTCTTAATGAGAGTGCAGGAGCCAAATAAGCAACAGCAGCCAGGTCTAATTTGTTTTAGGTGTGCTCAGAATAGATAAGGACAAATCTGTGGCCTTCACCCCATCCCCCCAACCTTTGCCTCCCTGGAGATAACACTGAGTGCTCCCAGCCAATCTCCGTGGGCAAAGGAGAGGGGGTAAAGAAAAAAAAAAAAAAAAAAAAAGCAGAAAAGGAAAAGCCTGAGGGACAGACGGCCTTTAGATCTGCAGATCTCTAACTTACTGGATTTATTCAAGCTTTAAAACTGCAGATTAATTTGGTCGCAGAGGTCTGGGGGAGTGTGAAAAAAAAAAGAAAAATGAGGCTGTACGCCGCTGCGCATCTCAACCTAAAGGGCAACCTTAAGCTCCTGTCAAGACAATAGGATTTTGCCATCTGAACCACGATGCAGACCGCTTAATTATACACATCTTCCCTGCAAGCTACCGTCAGCTACTTAAGAGCATGGGCCCCCTTATTCATTGTCATGCCCTTTTTCCCCTAGATTGGTCGTGCCGTGTGGATTTTCTGTCAGCTTCCATTTGCACAGAGTAGCTGTCCTCCTTAGGCCTTTGCTGTGCTCGGGAAGGCACAACCGCACGGCACTGTTAAAGAATTCATCATTTTTGCCACTGCCACCAATTAAGGCCAAAGCGTAATCGGAGGCGTCCGGACGATGCCCTTACATTATGTGGTCTGTCGCCTCCTCTGCCCCTGTTTGATTTAACATCCCTGGTTCAGTGGTGAAAAAGAGCTCATTGTCATTGTCTTTATTATAGCGCGAGTAGACAGAGAAGGAAAGGGGGGTTGGGAGGTGGGGGGTGGTGGGTGGTGGGCCAGAGGGGTAGAAAAGCAGCCCGTTGGAGGGTGGACAGCGTGAAAGAGCAGGTGCGGGAGGACGTTAATGTGTGGCACTTTAAATTTTAAACAGATGAGAATAAATTATTAATGCTGACTCCGGCTGAGAAGTTAAAAGGTATCTCGTCATGAGAGCCTGTATGAAAAAGTGTGAGAGAAAAGTCTTCGGTAAATGCATCCGGGGACTGTAATGAGCACAGAGAATCACAACCAGGTGTTTTTTGGGTTTTTTTTCTCCGGAAAAATGACGAGTTCTTGACTTATTTTGATTTCTGCATGTATTTCATATTTTGGCTTTAATGTAACAATTAAACTCTACTAGTCCTTTTTACAAAGCATTTTCCTTATTGAGTAAGTGCAACAAGGCCAGTGGCAAATGAGTCAATGAACTGAATGAATAGCCAGATTAGAAAAGTTGCTCTTGAAGGTGGTATTCCCCATTTTCAGTCAACTATTACCAAATTCCTCCAACAGGCATACAGCTGCTTCCTTTGTGGCTTTATCATTCACATATTAAGCATTAGCTATGTTAATACACTGTCCTTACAAACAGTATGCTTCAACGTAAACTGCAGGAAAATGATGAATGATCGTAATGATTGCTCATTTCCATTCAAGCCAAGTAAGATTTTCTCTCATATAGAGAATATAACAGTCACATGATCATGCCTTTATTTTGGGATGACATTTGTAAGTCCCTCTCATTCATGGACTGAGAGTAGAGATTGGCTGCCTGTAAAGAAAAGGAGAATACCCCACAATAGTATAATTATTTCTCGATACCAGCTGAGAAACCTCTGTAATTTTATGCTCATTATTCATTAATTACAATGGTTACACTTGTGATGCCAGACTGCAAAAATTTGCTTTAAGTCATAGTGCCACTATGGTATTTTGACTTTTAAAGAAATCCAGGCTAAGGGATGTTGAAAAATAATCAAATCAAAGCTAGCTATTCAAACAGTTGAGGCTGTAAAGGGCAGATGTGATGTATTGGTCAGTGTATCCAACCATATCTGGTCCAGTTGGATGTAGACTACGGAATAAGACATTGTTTAACCATCCCCACCACGTTTTTGGTAATTGCTTAATGCAGTGCTTGGTAGCATCCGCTCATACACGGTTTTTAAGTCACATAACCTTTTAATAGAAATTTTCTTTGTTAAACAGAATTTACAACATTTAGTTCATAGTTGCTGCTGTGTTTACACTGGACATTCAACAGGACAGAGAGTCTTGTTGAGAATTTGATAGACTTATGAGAAGTTAATGCATTAACCCACATTCTACAATCACGTTCAACTATGCATGCAGAATGGAATTGATTGCTAAGAGGGCAATAAGGCGCCACTTATTAATTATATACGGTTATAATTTCCCTATGCAGGTCTAATACTAAAGTTATTACAATAATCAGTTAAACTAAAGTTAGGTAGCATCAGACCAGATTGCATTGAACCCAAGGTGTTGATGATGTGCTCTAAATGATTATTTGTATTTCAGTGTACACCTTTGCTTTACTTTCTGTCTCTCTTACTCTCCCTCTCTTTGACAGACCACTAAATTACACTTCTGCTATTGATTTCTAACATTTTTCCTCAAGTCAAACCTCAAAACTGTCCTCACTGCTAATCATACTCACCTACCACCATGGCTCTGGTTGACTGGACAAGGTCTTGTTTCTTAAGATGGAGACATTACCCAGCCCTGAATGTAAGGATTTGCTGTCAAGCAGCAAATGTAAGGGTCCAGAAAAGAGCTGATTTTAAGTAAAACTTCATTTTCAGTCAGTTAGGTCTTATATATAGACTATATAGACTCTTATGTAGCCTATAGAAATGACTGTAAACAGACCAACCAACTTGGCAAAATGAAAATAGGCTTTACTAAGAAATGCTAAAAAAAAAAAAGAGAGAGAGTAAGAGAGAGTAACTATGCATCAAAATATATCATAGATGTGTGCCTCTGACATATTTCCATGATTCCAAGACAACAATCCGTTTTTTAGGTAGACTACATATACAAATACCAACTTTTCCAAGAGCAGTAAGGTAGCTAGCTCACTAACGCTACATAATACTAGTTGCCCTGGAAAGTGCCAGGCTTATGTTCAGAACTAGTTACAAAAACGGTTTGTTCCCCTCTTCAGCTCTGGCACACCAATCATTGCTGATGACCTAAAACGCTTCACTACCAATACGTCAGGAATGTCGCCACATTTCTAACATTCCTGCCACTGATACATTTAATCAGCTTTGTTTGAACTCATTTTTCAAAGGCTTGAGTGTAACGGATATTTAGATGTAAAAGTCAGGCATTCTAGCTTTAAGATATTTCTATTTAATCTTAATCTTCAATCTTATTTTTGATTTCACTTATAAATTCTGACCTGATAACTGATCTGGGAAATGCAGCCTGGCCTGTGGGCACACCTCACTGTTTCCAGACATAGAAAGTTTGAACTTCTCTTTCAGCAATTTAACCCATTATATACAACGTTTATATTTTTCCCATCACTGCTAAAAGTTTTCTAAAGCATAAGTTTTTGGATTGTTTTCTTGCCTTTCAAGAAACTTCTTTTTGTTTGCAGAGACTTGAAGTTTGTTTGAAACAGGCAATCCATCACAGTAGAACTGTTGGTCTGATACTATCATGCATGATAATGCAGGTATGAACAGGAAGCCTAATGGAAAATCTTCCCCTTCAATGCAAATGCTTACAATAAGTAAACAGGATCTCATGGAAATAATAATGTGAGTTTGGTATTTTCGTGCACCATAGGCCTAAACAGTAATTTATTTGATCATATAAATTAGAGATATTTTCAGGTGTAAGGGTCAATTTTGACATATAGATGGAAAATACGCTTTTTTGTGTGCCTCACAACAAATCATAACTTCAAATAAAGGATTGCATTTACAAACATAATGGATTCAAAGAGCATCAGAAAACAAAAATGACTCGTTTTTTTGTCTCGTATTACTCCATGGTATTTTAGTAATATGGCTCTGCTTTTGTTTATGTGTGGAACAACATAAATGATATAATCACAATATACTGTAGGCCTACTCATATAGGCCTACAAGACTTGACACCATACTTGACACCGTTTATAATACTGAGCTGGTAAAGAAAAAAATTCTATCCAATCTATGTTAACGTCATTGTAGTTTGGAAAATGAAATGAAAATGATGAAATGTAAAATACAGGGCCATAGAATTGCAGTTCTGTGGATGCTCTGATGAGTTTATATCCGTAGGTTAAAAGGCAGTAATGACAGAAGGCTTTGTGACATTTGTCCGAGAAAACTGATGTGAAAGTGAGTTTGTGAGTGACAATGGGTGATGGGAGGAATCGGTCATCGTGGTTTAAGCGTCTCAGTTTCTGCAAGTCAAATCCTCGCATGTTGCCACCTCCTCTATTGTGGCTCCGCTCTCAGATTATGAATATTTCATGGCAAGCATCTGACACCATGCCCAGAAAGATATCTCAAGGTTTTTTTCTGATAGAAACCCTGGGGTTAGAGAATGTCACATAGGCGTGAAGTCACTCTGTGGCCCCCAGGTAAAGGATAGGATTTATGATGCACCAGTTGATGACATCAGGTGGATATTTTCATTCCAGAGCAGAGAGCCCCTTTGTCCTCCATGACTGATAAACCATTGAGCTTTTCACAGTTTGTTGTTGCTCCTCGAAAGATCTGTCTGTGGCGTTCTGTTGTATAGAGAAATGATTTCAATCTGCTCAGAGTGCACGCTGTGTTTTGACAAACTGTGAACGGTTTCCCGTCTGATCAGTGTGAAGCTGGAATGACTAAGCAGGGGGGAGTCTGCTTGGATTAGCTCTGTCTTAAATGCTGCCTTTAGCATATTACATTGCCCACTGGCTTTCTCCTAACGACATCTCTCTTGTTTCCATCTTTGTTAAGTTTTACTTTCCAGTTTAACTAAAGCCTACTTATGTAATTCCTCATTTTAGGTTGCTTTAGGTGCAATATTAGTCTAACCAGATGACTTTAATCCTTGTTTCTCTTTCTTCGGGTGGGTTCTCCCTAATGTCTAGAGAGGTGACCTTACAGTGTTATTGTATGTGTATCTAATTAAATAAAACCAATTTAAGACCTCCTACACAGCATTGGATTTTCCAACAGTATATGTATTAGCACAGTGATTTCCAACCTTTTTGGCTTGTGACTCCATAAACTGGAATTATATGCTTCTGTGAAGATATACAGTGTAATGGGTTACTGTGGGTGGCAGAGGAGCCGACATGCACATCTCCCAAATCGCAACTACACGTTGTGTCGACCTGCATGTCAAGCAAGTTGATTCAACTCACATTGGGAGACAAACTGAGACGAAAACAAATGTAAATGATGTAGATACTAGATTTGTCTTGAAACAAATTGAGTTATAAACTGGGCAAAGGGGTTTTCTCTACTCTGAGTTTTTATTTCAAATCGTTTTTTTTTATTGATATCATCAGTGTTACTTGACAGAAACACAAGAGTCATCTGGATAAATGAACCATACTCTAGTTTAATCATTAATTTCTTTGTTTCTGAGAAATCATGTTTATTTTGGGCAGATGCTATTTGTACCCAGCCGTGGGTAGCCAACAATGCTATTTGCACCCAGGGTGGATAGCCAATATAGCTATTTGCACTAAGGGGTATATAGCATGGCAGAGACAAGCACACAGGTGTCTGC